AATAACCTGTAAGAACTCAGGTGGAGTATTATGAAGTCTTTGCATCGTATGACTGAGATCATACGTGTAACTAAAGTAAAAATAAGGTGTGTTCAATACAGATTTAATCATTTCTAAGTATGTAGCATTATTCTGCACTTGTTTTTCGCTGAGGTGCAATGAAGATTTTGTATAAGGTATAACTTCTGTTGCAACTATTTTATAGATTTGATGACCAGCTATGGTTCCAATTTCTGTAGCATCTGTTATTACTATAATGTAGCGGCATGCTAATAACCGTATGGTTCCTATTATACCCCATATTTTCCTACGACTTGCACTTGCTGGGATCTGACTAGCCGTGCCAGCTAAAGTACAAAAAATGTGTTAAAAATTTATAGTTCACAATAGCATTATGTGCAAGTTGTAACATTAATTACCTTGTGTGTAAATTTGCTGACTCACTCTATCAACTACAAGCAATACTTTTGTCCCAATAGGCTCTACATAGAACTTTTCAGGTGTTATGTATCTAAAAAAGAAATTGCCGGTCAGTAGAGTTTCAGCACACTCCTTAATCTACCAATAAGTGTTAACAATTTAAATACCAGTAAGAAAGTAACATGGACATGAAATACTCACAAGTATAATTTGTCATATACATCTGTGTGCAGCTTCATATTGTTAGACAATAATTTCCGCAATGTGTTAAACAAGAATACAAGGTAACAAAAAACTCAAAACACGATGCAAGTAAAAATAAACTATAACGAGAACAAAAATCGTAATCTGTACATACGCAGGACTTAAATTATGATGGTAACTTAACTACAGATTAACTGTCAAACTGTTGTCAACTTAATATTCGAATTGGCATGATCGAAATCTGTCAAAATCGGAGTAACCTCCGCGCGTATCTAAGTTTTCTCCTATTCTTCGCGGTACACTATACTATTATTCGTTCAACGAGAGACCAAACGCCTTTCGCGCAGCTCAGGGAAGCCCTCTACTCTCATTTCTAACTTCGTGGTCGTATACATGGTGGAGAGAAATATATGAATAGAGGAATCATGTGGTTACGTCGAAGGGTATACTAAATATAAGACCACTAGGTATGCATGCTTGGTACTACAATGCACCTACATCAAGCTAGCCGGAAGGAATAATAAAATATGATTATTTTTAATTTTTCTTAGTGTATTTCGTTTGTAAATCGTTTATGATAGATTGTAAATCTATTTTTAACGTTTGTGGCAAATTAGTTCTTTCGTAATTAGCAATTTTATTTCAATCATGATGTGAGGCGAGACTTTTCAGACAGATTTTTGATAACTGATAACAATAATTGATTGGAAATCGTTTGTAATTCACAAATATATAATTTTCATTGTTTGTAAGTGAATAATTTCTTAACTATTTACAAGTTTGCTTTATAATAAATAATTGTAGTGCGCATGCGCTACAGATCCGGGCGTACCCATCACTACCTCGAACAAGTGAGTTTCACGATTTGTTCGTTTTTAGGTCTTATATTTCGCTATTTGCTTCGGGGTCCCTGACACCCCGGTGGCATAATATCGGTATGCAGCGTCACCGGTACCTCGGGGTCTCAGATACCCCGAATGCCAATGTGTCGGTAAGCAAAGAGTGACATCGGTGCTTCGGGGTCCCCGACACCCCAAGATGATATGTCGGTATGCAGAGATAGTCACTGGGGTTTCGGGGTCCCTGGCACCCCGGATGCTATATTATTGGTATGCAAAGATAATGACCGGCGTTTCGGGGTCCTTATTACCCGAATATGATATCAGGTCGGTACGCAGAGAGCGACATTGGCGCAGCGGGTTCCCTAACACCCCTGGACAATATCACAACAATGGACAACAACCAGTATAATTTTTTTCCAGAGTTTATTTAATTTACTTCATTTATTTTTTTTGCTGAATAAATAAGTTCATCAAAAGGGGATAACATTTATGATTATATCCCTCTTCTGGACCCCATTTATTTTACTTTTACCAGTTATTTATATAATTTTATCCCTCATTATAGGCCAAGGCCATCTCAGTATCCCTTACATCCCTGCAACCTTTTTTTTTTTTTAACGTGGTGGAAATCTTCAGAAAGACACCTTCAGCCCCCCTGGGGAGGGGCCGGAGGTAGTGTGGGATTTTTACCCACTAAAACCACCACGGTGGCCTGCACTAGAGCGGTAGGGAGGGTTCTTTGACCCTCCGCCATGTGCCAAACTACACCAACATCGGGGGCCACACCCGATGCCGGCACTCCTCGGGCCACGTGCAGTGGAGACCGGAATTCCTTTACATCCCTCGTTCCGTTATACCTCTGCATTACTTACATCCCTGCATTCTTTTCATCCCTACATTCTTCTCATCCCTACATTCCTTTCATCCCTACATTCTTTTTATCCCTACATTCCGTACATCTCTTCATCCCTTAAATCCCTACATTATTATCATCCCTACATTCTTTCCATCCCTACACTCCTTACGTCTCTTCATCCCATAAATTCCTACATTATTATCATCCCTACATTCTTTTCATCCCTAGATTCCTTACATCTATTCATTCCTTAAATCCTTACATTATTATCATCCCTACATTCCTTATAATAAATATATTATGAAGACTGCTGCGAGTAAAGGTAAGTCAGTTCCTATTTGCGAAAATTTCGAAAAAACAGCGCGCTCTGGTGGGGAAAAAAGGAACTAAATCTCGCGCAATTTCTGGCCCTCTGGCGGCAAAAATGTGAACTAAAATCTCGATGTCGAATCAGCGCCATCTGGTTTCGGAAAAAGGAACTAAACCATGCACCAATTTTGGCCCTCTGGCGGCAAAAATGTGAACTAAAATCTCGATATCGAATCAGCGCCATCTGGTTTCGAAAAAAGGAACTAAACCATGCACCAATTTTGGCCCTCTGGCGGCAAAAGAAATAACTAAATTTGTATAAAATCGCAGGGATGATAATAATGTAGGGATTTAAGGGATGAAGAGATGTAAGGAATGTAGGGATGAGAAGAATGTAGGGATAAGGGATGAAGAGATATAAGGAACGTAGGGATGATAATAATGTAGGGATTTAAGGGATGAACAGATGCAAGGAACGTAGGGATGATAATAATGTAGGGATTTAAGGGATGAAGAGATATAAGGAACGTAGGGATGATAATAATGTAGGGATTTAAGGGATGAACAGATGCAAGGAACGTAGGGATGATAATAATGTAGGGATTTAAGGGATAAAGAGATGCAAAGAACGTAGGGATGGAAGCAATGAAGGGATGCAAGGGATACTGAGATGGCCTTGGCCTGTGAGGGATAAAATTACATAAATATCTGGAAAAAGTAAAATAAGTGGGGTCCAGAAGAGGGATATAATCATAAATGTTATCCCCTTTCGATGAACTTACTTATTAAGCAAAAAAAATAAATGAAGTAAATTAAATAAACTCTGGAAAATAATTATACTAGTTGTGCCCTCTTCATACGGACCTGATATTGTCCTGGGGTGTTAGGGAACCCGCTGCGCCAATGTCGCCCTCTGCGTACCGACCTGATATCATATTGGGGTAATAAGGACCCCGAAACGCCGGTAATCATCTTTGCATACCAGTAATATAGCATCCGGGGTGCCAGAGACCCCGAAGCACCAGTGACTATCTCTGCATACCGACATATCATCTTGGGGTGTTAGAAACCCCGAAGCACCGATGACACTATTTGTATAACGACATTTTGGCGTCCGGGGTGTCAGGGACCCCGAAGCACCGATAACACTCTTTGCTTACCGACGCTACGCCATATGGGTTATCTGAGACCCCTAGGTGCGGGTGACGCTTCATATCGATATTATGCCAGTGGGGTGTCAAGGACCCCGAAGCACGAGTGACTATCTCTGCACACCGACATATCATCTTTGGGTGTCAGGCACCCCGAAGCACCAATGACACTGTTTGCACAACGACATTTTGGCGTCCGGGGTGTCAGGGACCCCGAAGCACCGATAACATTCTTTGCTTACCGACGCTACGGCATTCGGGGTATCTGAGACCCCAAGGTACAGGAGACGCTACATACCGATATTATGTTACCGGGGTGTCAGGGACCCCGAAGCACCGATAACATTCTTTGCTTACCGACGCTACGGCATTCGGGGTATCTGAGACCCCAAGGTACAGGAGACGCTACATACCGATATTGTGTTACCGGGGTGTCAGGGACCCCGAAGCACCGATAACATTCTTTGCTTATCGACGCTACGGCATTCGGGGTATCTGAGACCCCGAGGCAAATAGCGAAATATAAGACCTAAAAACGAACAAATCGTGGAACTCACTTGTTCGGGATAGTGATGGGTACGACCGGATCTAGCGAAATATAAGACCTAAAAACGAACAAATCGTGAAACTCACTTGTTCGGGATAGTGATGGGTACGACCGAGTTTAGCGAAATATAAGACCTAAAAACGAACAAATCGTGAAACTCACTTGTTCTGGATAGTGATGGGTACGCCCGGATCTGTAGCGCATGCGCACTACAATTATTTATTATAAAGCAAACTTGTAAGTAATTAAGAAATTATTCACTCACAAACAATGAAAATTATATATTTGTGAATTATAAACGATTTCCAATCTGTTACAGTTATCATTTATCGCAAAATCTGTTTATTATAAAAAATTGCTAAAAAGTTTCGGCTCACATTATGACTGAAATAAAATTGCTAATTATAAAGGAAGTAATTTGTTACAAACGTTATCTTGTATCTTTTATTTAAAATAAATTGTACAGGAAGTTGAACGTGTACCAAAGGAAAAAAAGCGGGAACTTAATTTATGAATTATTTAGCAAAAAATATTGAGTTTACACCATAATTTCGGTTTTATTAAATAATGTAAATATTATATGTTTGTAATACGTAATTAACAATGTATAAATTGAACAGTATAATGGCTAAAATATGATATAAATTAATTCAAACGTTTGGCCTCCAACGGAATCGTTCGAATTCGAATCTATCTTCCAGACCACTCACTGTCAATGTGATTACTCCAAGACTCCAATCGTTCTGATTGACCTTAGTACTCCTGGAGAGTTCGATAACTGTTTTTGAGTTCTTTTAAAATTATTCTGTTCCAGAAAAGTACTACTTAAAATGGTAAGTTGTAAATGTCGCATGTTAATCATTTTTTGCTATAAAATAATTATAAATATTTGAAAACATTATATTCTGCACTGTATTTACGTAACCTACATTCGACCTTCAATAATCTTTGCAAATACTGATTGTTTCTAATTTAACATTCATTAATTTCTCTGAATATCACATTTACTCTAGCCGACTGTAGAAACAATTATTAACTAACAAAAATAATAGTAATTATTATTATTATATTCACAGTAACGGGCAATTATTACCTGATTTCTGAATAATATGTATGTGCAATTAAATTATTTTCTTTATTCTTTTAGACAGAACCAATAAATGTGGTGGTTACTGGGGCTGCAGGGCAAATTGCCTATTCTCTATTGTACCAGCTTGCTGCTGGTTCAGTTTTTGGTCCAGATCAACCAATTAATCTTCGTTTATTAGATATTCCAGTCATGATGAAAGTATTAGAGGGGGTAGTTATGGAACTACAAGATTTAGCTCTCCCACTTTTAAGGGGTAAAATAATCAGAATTATTAGATGAATGATTACTAATAATATATTTCACTACATCATAATTATATGGGCATTTTGCAAGTAAATATTTAAATGATATCACAGTATCTCAGATAAACTTGGTGACACCGTTAAATGTATTTAATCTATATATTTTTAAAAAAGTAGTTATTACATAATGCTGATATATAATAGCTGAACCATTTAAATTATCTAGTTTTTTTTTAATAGAACAAATCCTCATAAAAATGTAAGTTAATCTAATTAGAAACAAAATGATGAACTTATATGTTTCACTTCTAGAAATTACTCCAACAGCTGATCCAGCTGCAGCTTTTAAAGATGTAGCTGCAGCTTTTCTTGTTGGAGCAATGCCCAGAAAAGAAGGTATGGAACGAAAAGACCTTTTAGCAGCTAATGCAGAAATTTTCAAAGTGCAAGGAGAAGCATTAAATAAATATGCTAAAAAAGATGTTAAGATCTTGGTTGTTGGCAATCCTGCTAATACAAATGCTTTGATCTGCTCTCATTATGCACCATCTATCCCAAAACAAAATTTTACTGCAATGACTAGATTAGATCAAAATCGTGCTCAAGCAGCTTTAGCTGCACGATTGGGTGTTCAAGTAATTCCAATTCTAATTCTAATATGTACATATATTCTACCAAATGATTCAAGATATAAAAGAATTTCGTTTTTTTAAACAGGTTGATAAAGTAAAGAATACAATTATTTGGGGTAATCACAGTTCAACTCAATATCCTGATGCTTCCCATGCTACTGCAGCCCTTAAATCTGGAACTGTACCAGTACCTAAAGCTATAAACAATGACAACTGGTTAAATACCACCTTTGTGGAAACAATTCAGAAACGTGGTGCAGCTGTAATTGCTGCTAGAAAAATGTCATCTGCAATGTCTGCTGCCAAAGCAGCTGGAGATCACATGAGAGATTGGTGGGTTGGTACTAAGCCAGGTGAATGGGTTAGCATGGGTGTGTTGTCCGATGGTAGTTATGGAATTCCAAAGGATTTGGTATTCTCATTTCCAGTCACTATACAAAACGGACAGTACCAAATTGTTCAAGTAAATACTTCTTTTTATAATTACTATTATCTAAATATATTTTAGGTAGTAATTTACACTTATATTATTGTTTCAGGGACTTCCGATTAGTGATTCTGCCAGATCAAAGTTAAATATCACATCTAAAGAGTTGGAAGAGGAACGTGCAGAAGCAAACAAAGTGCTGCAAAGCAAGTGACTAAAATCAACAGATCATTCTGAAAGCGGCTTACCTGTTTCAGCAAAATTATGAAGAAATTGATATTAAAATTTTGCCAAATATATAAATCGTGATACATGATACATAGACTGTGGTGGCTTTATGGAACATTCAAATATATATATATAATATATTAATGATATATGTACATATATGTATTGATTATATGTATGTTATATGGGATCTAATGAAGTGCGTATCTTTTCTAAATGGCACATGAATTGTTAATTATATACATTTATATTCATAGATTGTATAAAACATGTAACAAATTATATTGAAAACCATGTTGTACTTTATAACGTTTTTTTTTTTTTATTCTTTTCCCCAAGAATCAATAATAATTTATATTACAGTAATAGTAACTATTTCTCATATCGATATCATTAATCAATCTGTTTTCACATTTATATTATCTTCATATTTTTTTCTAGACACTATTATTACAAGTATACTGATTTCCGCCTATAATTATAATTATTGAGTGAGCATTAAGTAGCATATTGTACAAAGATGCAGAGTGCTCAGCTTGCCAAGTCTTCAATAATGCTTTCATCAAAATGTTTCATCACGTCTTTATTACTCCTTTTTATAATCGGACCTTTCTATACCTTTAGAAACATGATAATGCATATTGATAGTGAATTAAAAGGATAAACATTTGAAGCTGTGAAAATTGGTCTAGATGCTAAGAAACATCATTGTGATAATAAAAACTTAGCACTTTGCACGAGTCAATTTTGTTTCACATCTTGTCGCGCGTTGTAATATACCTCTGCGATACACGTGATGTACCACAGAAATATTCTGATAAAGAAAATAGAAATTTTCATCAAAGGTGCCTTTTCCCATATGGATCACTTTCAAGCACAACAATACTTCACAAAGAAGACAGTACGAACATTCGTTCTAAAATGAGGAACTGTAAAGTTTTTGTTCCACGAGGACAGCAAATATACTTGAAAACACTCGCATAAATTACAGTTGTTGAGAAAATACAATTTCTATTGTATTGGACAAATTCGTAATATATTTATGATTATTACCTGGAACGGATAGCCCACGAGAATACATAATAGCGTAACTCTTCATTATTTTGTCATTTAAATATATATGTATATATATTACAGTTTTGTAGCAAATTTTTACGTAAGTTTAAAAAATTTACTACTACAAAATTTTAAATACCCAAGTTGTTAAAGCAACGTAATTTGATGGTATTTGTTTCATTATAGATTTCCATTAAAATGGACAACTTTGAACATAACATTAATACGTGATATTTTATATACTTAAATATTCGTAATACAATGAGAATTCTTACTGATTTATTTAAATATTATACACGATTCCGTTCCAGGTTATGTAATTAAATCATTCGTTTAAACCTGTACTGATTCCTATTAGACTACATTTTTAGGTTATCCAAGTGACATCAAGGCCAAACTTTGCTTTTATACATAAGTTGTACGATTCGATTAGCAAAGTTCAAGTCACACGTTTTAAGCGCAAGTATTTTTGATAATATTATCGTTAACAGTTCTTTGCTCGAATAGAGACGAGCTTAATTTAAGTGAAATCCTCTCTCTCTAGTTGCAGCTAAGAGTCTTTCTTTAAGTATTTCTTCAGTAGGATACTCTGGCAACTTTAAATAATGAACACAGGTGTTAACAGAGGGGTAACCACCTGATCCAGCGTCTACTTTTCGTACGACAGTCAATCTAGGATGTAAATTACATAATCCTCCAGGAGGTAAAGCTGAACATCCAGTAGCAAATTGTAAGAAAGCTTTTCTTTCTGGACCAGTCAGTGAGAGTAAAACATTGACGAATCTTTGGAAACCAGGGCTGTAGCAATAAGAATAGAATATTAAGTTTAATAAAGTACGCTGTTAAAAATACGAACCTTAAATGTATTTAAAATAATCTCACCTTTCTCTTGTATAACCAAGTTTTGGCTCAGTGTAATTGAGCAAATCTTCTCTGGTCCATTGTGGATTTTGTTCTCCGCAAAGCATAGCCCTTACTTCTTCCGGACTGAAAGCATGAAGTTTTTCCATTGGGAAGACTTTTGAAAAACCGGCTTTAAATGATTCAAGTTGTCTAGAGACTCCTCGATCGAGACAATAATTAATTGTCATCTCCGCGTACTCTTTCGCATTCTGCACAGTTACTGATGTCTCTGCACATCCTTCTATTAATTCCACATGCTCGTATCCAAACACTTTCGAACTAGGAGAATATGTCATTGTTAAAGCCAAATCTTCAATAGGCACTGACATTCCAGATGGATGAGTAATATTCAACGACGTTTCTTCGTCAGTAGTATTATGACTATCCGAAAGCGATCTATCACGTTTAGCAACTGATGCTTGTATTTCTTTTAAAAACTCTCCTCTCACCGGATCGACGAATACAAGATCTTCGATATCTAATAATCCAGAATACCATGGAGGTGGTTCTAACGAAGAATATGTTACGTCTGTTTCACCTTCTTCTGATATAAAGCTACTCGACATACTTGATGACATACTTTCTTGAGTTATACCACTAAGACCAATTTTTTCATTCACATTATTTGTAATGTCTCCGTGACACATTAATTTTAAGAAAGGACGGGACAACGGCAAATCTACTAATCTATTATCCTGCAAAACTTTTGCCAGGAACACACCCAAGAACCAGAAGTATCGAACAGCACGATCACAAGTTACCGAATCCTGTGGTAAAGGTGCTGGGAATAATCCACTTGGTCGAGTTACATAATATCCTGCAGGTCGAACCTGCTCTCCAGAAACATGTGACTGTTCTGTATCATGTATTTCTTCGTCATCGCACAGCCATAAACCCAAGTCTTTGCGCTGTAACTCTGCAGCAACTAATGCGAAAAACTCTAACGTGGGTCCCAGACCTGTTCCTTCTTCACCGATAAATTCAACTTCTAATATACTTTTCCGATTTGCATGGACCTATGATACATAATAAAAAAAAATATATATATATATATATATTAAATACAACAAATAAGTCGATATTTTTTCAAATAAATTTTACAGAATTAATTTACCTTCATTACTTGTTCTGCCCAGTCTAATAATTTCTCTCCCCTAGGTACACTGACTCTTTCATGTTTGAGTCTACCCACACGAAATTCGTGAATATCATCGCGACGTGGACTCAAACCAGGTGTTCTTTGTCTTTCAAGAACCGCATCTCTTTGTGTTTGAAGCCATACAATAGATCGGGACGCTCCAAAAGCGGTACAACTAAAGTACAGTCGTCTAGTTTCAAATGGTAATAAAAATGGACAACTCCTTGCTAATTCCTCGCACCAGTTTGGCAAAGCTCCAGCAGCTAGTGCTAAAGGATCTTGAATTTGTTGTACTATTTTATTTGTGATTTTCTTTGAAGTGAAATCATCGGGATGAACCCAACACGGTGATTCCTCGTTTTCATAATCAACGTGTTTACCGTCGTCACGAGTAGTACTCAATACATAAACGTGCCTCAGAAGCTGTAAAACGTCTTCTACCGTACAAACTGAAGAGCTTTGAGTGGTACTTCGGGAATATAATGTTACAATTGGCGTAGCTCTTCCAGACGATTCTTCGTCTCTAGATTCTTTATATATTATACTACAAAAATATAAGTTTAATATAACAGTAGAAATAATAAAATTTTTTATTAATAAATAAATATATTACGTGTAAGTTGGTTCCCATATTCTTCTTAATTTTTCTTGCCGGCTGCCCAATTCAGTTAGTTGCATTAATTCTTGTACCGTTTTGAAAATACTGGCGTGTGGTTCTGTAAGGGGTAATTCAACGTCTGGCACTCCTGGAAGTCCTGGACCTTTCAATGTTAAAGAAAGTCTAGGCATTGACAATGATCCAGACCGTGTACTTGATTGAGTTTCACTGCCAGGTGGTGGAATTTCCAAGTCAGTTGTCTGGAAATAGAATTTCGTAATAACATTAACTTACACGAACGGCCTTTTAATATTTTTACCGAACATACCTGATTGATGTTTGTTCGTCCGGGTCGTGGATCGAAGGCTGGGATCAAAGCAGAAAATTGACGTTTAAGAACAAACTCGTCGTCCCAAGCACGTCTCTTGCTGCTTTCTTCTTCCATAAAAGCTGCCAGGAGATTGCGACTAACCATAACCTCTTCGTAATCAGCATCGCAACCATCTCCTTCTTCTTCATTTTCTTCGTCATCTTCCTATTGAAAAGAATGGACAACTCGCAATTAAAAATCATTTTTCTTACTCCTTTGCTTTTCAGGTTATTTTTTTCAACTTACCTCTTGATCATTTTCATCATTATCCTCTTCTTCTTCAAGCACGCCATCCTCGTCATCTTCTAATTCGGTCAGAAGAGTTGGTCCACCTGTTGTTCTACCTCCACCAACGCTAGAACTTGCAACACCTCCACAAGATTCCAAAAAGTCTTCAAGACTGACCTGTAGCCACAACTGCTTATTACATTATATAAAATCATATATTTCATTTTAAATGCTATATTCATAGTGTACAATTGGAAATATTTGATAGAAATATATATATTTTTTTAAATTACTTTCTATTGTACACTAATTTTTACCTGTTCGCTATCACTACTTGTACTAGTCAACGACATTGTAAGTGCTTGTCCTAAGCCGGGTCCAGTAGTTGTCGTGACACCACTACCAGCTACTTGACCACTACTGGTTAAACTTGGATAACTTTGAGCTGTACTAAGTAAACCGCCAGGAAAATTAGGACTTAGGGCAAGTCGAACTAAACTCGATACTGAATTAGGTCCACGTGAATTTGAACCAGTATTAGAATTAGAAGCAATATGCTGTCCACCTGTAGGTCCTACAAAAATTTGTATCATTGAATCGTATAGCTATTAATCTAAATCATTAAAAGGCAAAAACACGAATAATTAATATAAATATTATTAAGCAATACACATAGGCACTGACCCAAAGTTCGTCTTCGCGCCATTGCCGCAAATGTTTCCAATAAACCAGTTGCAGCTGTTGGTTCCAGTGTATTGTTAGCATCAGAACAAGCAAGATTGGGAACAGACACAG